ATTGTAATGGCTCTTAGTGTTAGCCTTAGCATTGTCTAGCAAAGTTCCTTGTGGTCTCACTGAAATGACTTATGAATTGGTTCTCACTTGAACTCTAATTCATCATAAGATAGGGTCAAATTTGGGGGGGGGGGGGGGGGAAATCCCACTGTACACACGTTCTTAAAAAAAATTCCCAAAATACATAAGTTATAAAAAATTTTCCCAAAGTACACATATTTGTCATTCACCGTTTTTTACAAACGCAGTGAAGGAGATCACCACGTTTGACAAAGACGGTGAATATTTCACCGTTTATAAGAAAAACGGTGACGTATTCACCGCGTTCATCAAAAACAGTGATGTACTCACCGCGTTTGAATAGAACGGTGAATACATCACCGTTTTAGTTAAAAACGGTGAATACATTCACCGTTGTAGAGTAACGCGGGGATCTTTTCCCACGTTTCCCACCCCTGGTAGGTCAAAATTAGGTCACAGCTACCTATTATTCACCGTTTGAGACAAACGCGGTGATGGTGTTCACCGTTTTAGACAAAAATGGTGAATAGTTGGCAGATTTGGTTATAAATACCACACCACCAGCAGTTGTAAAAACATAACCACTCCCCTTCCTTCAAATTTCAGCAACCAAAACCGAGCATAATACACAAAACAAGAATTTTTCGGTATGTTGAGACTTTTCGTATTATAGTCTAATTATGTTTTTAGTAGTTATAGTATGATTTAATTTTCATATTATGTTGTTGTTAGTTAGTTGAATTTATGTTCGTTAGTTATGAGATGGATAATATTAGTTGTACAATATGATTTTGGTTAATTTTACTGTCTTTAAGCTAATAGATACTTATTGTAAATTGTAGATATGGGTAAATTCAAGAAGTTTCATCTTACTATTCGGTGGAATGGAAGGTGACAAACTCTGACATAGGCATTGATTATGAGGACGGCGAATCCACTATGCTGAAAATTGAGTCCCGATTCAATTTTCAAGAACTCTGTGATATTTGTGCAGACAGGGTTTGTACGCGCGGACAAACGAGACTTGGCAAAATTACTTACCGGTATCCAGACATGAGTGCTAGCGGGGTCGTGTTCCAAGAAGTTGTCATAAACGATGATGACGCGGTTACGATGATGTTACAGTTCCTAAGCGATAACCAAGTCCGACTTGCAGAGGTGTATGTTGAGACCGAGGCGGTCGGTGAATCTCATTCTCACCAGTATTCTTATGATGATGGTTTTGCAGGAGGGTACGGATGGGGTGGTAGTTAGAGCAACTACGAAGGCGGTGGTTATACAGGAGGTTACGGAGAGGGTGGTGGTTCAATCAACTACGGCGGAGGTAGTAGTGCAGGATGGGTGCCATCGGAAGAATACTCGCAACCTGATCAACTAGCCCCATTTGTTGAGGCCGATGGTGTTCAATGGCCTGCTTGGGGGCCAGAGTGGTCTGAAATCGAGAATACCATTCGATCAGGGCGTACTTCACATGAGCGAGAAGACGATGTTGGTGATCGTGGTCATGTTGATCCTTCTGGCCCGAGCTATCCATTCGAGTCGAGCGACGAGGATACTGAGGAAGATTTGAGATCAGTGAGCGAGGAGGAGGAAGATACTGATGATAACGAGGATGAGGCGGTATTTCGTGAGGCACCCACGCCATATTACACACAGGTTCCAACTCAATTTTTACATAGTCAGAATGATCCCCCCGACTTTGTCCCTATGCCAGTGTATAATCCGACGGCCAATTTAGAGCAGGGTATGGCGTTCACTTCGAAAGACGCTGTGCAGGATGCTTTTACAGAAGAGGCGTTGAGGCGCAATTTCGAGTGGAAGGTAAAATATTCTGACAGTAAACAACTACATGTCATATGCAAGCATGATGCAGAGGGTTGTACGTGGCAACTGCGGGCTGCAAATTATTTCGATTAAAAAAATCATAAACCAAAAACCTACACGAAGAGCCTCTTCGTCCATTTTTTGGCAGAAGCCGGACAGAGGTTCGACGGGTTTAGGTTTGTAAGGGACGGGAACTTAGCGGGACGCGGGATTTAGGGTCAAACTCTAGTAATTCTTTCTGATGTGGAAGATCGGACTTAGCCGCAACCACAGAGCATACTTAGAACGAGACTAGAGCGGATAAATGGAGGGAGAAAGAATGTAAATGGTTGTGGTGTGATTTGTTTGTGGGGGGAAGGGTTCTATTTATAGTGGGGGGAAGGGATCAGCCGAATTAATTCTGGCCACCCTTCACCGCGTCTCTCAGAAACGGTGAAGTCACCGCTTGCATTAAAAACGGTGAATGACGCGGATCGAGGCGACATGGCCAAGCATGAGGCGTCGGATCTGGGAAGAAAACCACGATCCGCGCCTCACCGCATCCAACGGCCAAGGTGAACGCGCCAGCGACGCGGATCGCTGACGCAAACAAACACGGGGTATTCACCGTGTTTGTTTAACGCGGTGAATACCCCGCGTTGGTCCACGTCAGCGATCCGCGTCGCTTCATCGTGGATCATTAAAACGGTTTCAATTTCACCGTTTTTTATTAAAACGGTGATGCATTCACCGTGTCTGTTTAAAACGGTGATGCCTTCACCGTTTTACACTAAGACGGTGAATACGTCACCTTTTTTTTTAAATGGTGAATACGTCACCATTTTTTTTTTAAAACGGTGAAATATTCACCGTCTTTGTCAAACGCGGTGATATACTTCACTGCGTTTGTCAAAAACGGTGATGCTCAAACATGTGTACTTTTGGAAAAAAAATTATAACTTATGTATTTTGGGAATTTTTTTTAATAACTAGTGTACTTTGGGATTTTTTCCAAATTTGGGAGCGGATACTATAACAACACCTCCTTTGTTGTTATAGTAACAACAAGGGTAAAAGGGTCCATTAACACAATATCTAACAAATAAAAAAATCAATATTCAGCTGATCTCCTTCATCGCGTATATCGCTCCTTCTCCCCCAATACTCCCCCCGGCGCCGCGCCGCACAATCTGAACCTTCTGGCCACTCCACGTCGCTCGCAGGAACAGCAAGCGCTTCGCCTGTGGATCGCGACGGCGGCGTTGCTGAACGTGGAAGGCCTGGCGCTACATGAACCTCACAACCGGTGGCGGCGTTATTTCCTCACCGGCGTCTCCAGTCTCTCCTTCCTCTGCCTGTCGAGGTTCGGCCGGAAGTACGGCCTCCGGCGGTTCCTCTTCTTCGACGGCCTCTGCCACGACAGCGACACCGTCAGGCAAGGATTGACCAAGAAGCTCGATGTAAGGTTTTCCAAATCTCCAATCTACTTCCTAATTATAATATCATTAATCCGATACGAATGTTAAGTCGACAACAGCAGCAGCCCAATTCCGGGAATCCCAACAAGCAAAGAGGCAAGAAGATATGAATTGACCGGGGGGAAATCGGGTAATCGAAGAATTGAAAGCGGGGAGAAAGAGCCCAGAATTGTGCGGGATGGGAGTAAGAAAGAGGTGGAATGGAAGGGATTTCTTTTTTCAGTTCGTGAGATCAAATGGAAGGGAAGTAATTCGAGATTAGGAGAAGGAGAGCTGTGTGAAGAGGAGATAGTAGAGTGGGAAGGAATTCGGTAATGGTGTGTAAGAGTTCGACTTCGCTCGTAGCAATTAGGGTTTGGACAAAAAGGGGAAAATAGAAAATGCATACAATAAACCTTCTAATGCAGACCACAAATCAGAAAAGTTAGAAAGCAAACCATAAATATTTTATAAGCACACCAGAAAATGCATAAAAAAATATGAGAAACCAAACCATAAATCTCACAATGCACACCACAATATCCGGTGATCGTTGACCGTTGACCAGTCAACGAAGTTCGTTGACCACACTCCGACGACCGTCAGTGAGTAAATTTCGGCGCCGATAGGCATATTCCGGCCCCGATGACTAGATTCCGACCCGGTAAGCATATTCTGACACCGACAAGCATTTTCTGGCGACAAAAAAGCATATTCCGGTGACCGGATTTCAGTGACCAAAATTTTGGGCAGAAAATTAAAAAAAATATTTCAAATTTTATATTTTTATATTTTTATTCTTATTTAAATATATTTTCATAATGACAATTATACCCCTGCTTTGATTTTACACTAGATCAAGTCATATAATAAAAAGTCATCATAATCCTAGCTTCCTATTGGTTGGAGACTAGTGATGTTACAATAACAATACAAGGGGTGTTGTCACACTATCTAGTCTCGTCAAATTTAACTCGATAGGTATGAATACTATCGAGATCATATTCCCGTAGGGCCTTTCTTCTCCCACTACTTCGAACTAGCCGTTGTATTTTAGAAAACATTTTGCAATTGCGAGGTACCTCGAATTCAAGACAAACGAGCTATTGAGCATGAACTTAAGTAACCAACAAAGTATGAAATTCTTAGAGCTATTGAGCATGAACTTAAGTAACCAACAAAGTATGAAATTCTTAGTTCTAGACTAGCAATAAACACGAGTAAAGCATAAAGTAAAAGGCATTTTTAGGTATTATTTCCCCTAGTTTTTCCATATTGGTATAGCAACTTAAATAAAAACATATGTAATTGAGTGTGTCATGAAGGTTTCCACCACCTATTCCGATCCAAGGTCATATCCTACACTTTGGTAGTTTCAACTTTTAGGGTGAACTAGGTGACATACGAATGATTACTCTTTATACTACCGACTTTCGAAAAACTAATTGTTTTATCTCATTTTTCATTTCAACCATAAACAACTAAATAATTGCATCATTAAATAATCAAATAATCAATCATTATTCACGAGTGTTATAACCATTAAGATTACAATATTTCGTCATTAAGAAAAGGTTATTGAAAAAAATTGGGCCTTCCCAGTTCCCATCTAATGGGCTCCGCAGAAGCAGCTTTAGCAACTAATGATCGGGCCTCCGGATCTTCATTCCGACCCGACTGTTCCATATCATCATGCAATTTCGGGTTTCGGCTTCCTCCACTGCAGTTACCTTCATCTTTTAAGTTTCAAGCCACCGTCTCTTCTCTCCTCTCTCTCTCTCTCTCTCGATCGAACAGCATCCCCCAATCCCAACAAATTGGTCACGAGTAAACGAAAAATCTCCGGTAGAAAACAGCAGCCAAGAAACGCCGACTCACCCGCCATCAAGCGATCGCGGTATGGCGGTGGAGGAGTCGCAGAAATCGGCGGCACCGACCTCTGAAGAGGTCGCCAACGCTAACCCTAAGCCGCACGCCGAAGACGTCGCCGGGAGCGACGATGTGCCGGAGGAAGGAGAGATCGTCGGGGACGACGACAGCTCGTCCAAGAAATCAAGCGCTGTGCCTTACCAGCCGCACCTGCTCGAACATCAATGGACTTTCTGGTTCGATAATCCATCCGCTAAATCTAAGCAAACCGCCTGGGGGAGCTCCATGCGCTCCATTTACACCTTCTCCACCGTCGAGGAATTCTGGAGGTGATGATTCTTTTGTTTTTTATTTCCTTTGCGCGTTTATCGACGGGGAAAGGCCTGATCTTGATGCGGTTTACGAGCTCGTTGTTTGTTAATGTCTTTGCTTGAGCTTGATATCATTTTGAAGGAGAGAAGATTGGGGGTTTCGTGCTTAGGTTGATTGTGATTGAATGTCTATAGTGGCAAGTGAATATCTCAGGAGTTCGATGGCGTGGTCATTGGTCTGGCTTTTGTGGTGATGCTTTTTATTGAGCAATATGTCTGATGGGGATTCTTGCTATTCTTTATCTGGAATCTACTTATGGTTCTCGTTTTCGCTAGAGATCATAAACTGAATGAATGTCCTCAAAAGGTTTTGCCTTTAAGTGTTACTCGGTTCTCTTATATTAGGAATTCAATTGCTTATGTCCTTGGATGTTATCCCTCGCCTATGAAACAGCTAAGTGTACTGGAGTTACTCTTGTACTCCTTGACATATTATATGTTCGTTTTGGATAAATTAGGAGCTTAAATAGCATATTGTGTTGGATTGTTACTGGGAGCACATGGTTATAGCTTGTGCACTCAATTCGTGTAGAAACAAATTTTGGTTGATTAGTTAGAGGACTTGGTCTCAGTTGTGACGTGTTGTTGCTAGATCTCAAGGTACTCGATAGTTTGCTTCTCTAGTAGTAACTTGGACATTCATTTCTTAGGGGGTTCAGCGTGAAAGTCACCATAGTTTGATGTTCCATACAGTTCTTTGCAGTCATTAGTAGCTATAAATTTGGGAACCTGGTTTCATATAGTTTCAGAGACAAACTTGACAGCTAGAAGCCTAGTTTCCGGCAGTTTTTCTGTTTAGTTTTTGTTCATAGCCGTGAAAACCAATCCTGATCTTTTCTTTCCCAGCATATCTTAGGTATTATCGATTTCCTGACAGCCTTCCTGACAAGGGCAACAGTTCGGCATTGTTTAACTCATGGGAGAATTGGGATAAATTAGTTCCGACTTCTGAAATCACTAAAGCATATCGTGTTCACCTTTTCCCCGTTGCAACGCTTGGAACCAGTTTATAAGATCCCTAAGCTTATATGTTGATTGACATTTTTATCTTGGGTTTAGTGTTTACAACAATATTCATCATCCAAGCAAGCTCCCTGGTGGAGCAGACTTCTACTGCTTCAAGCACAAGATTGAGCCGAAGTGGGAGGACCCTGTTTGTGCTGGTGGAGGGAAGTGGACTTTGACCTTTGGGAAAACGAAATCTGATACCAGCTGGCTATATACGGTATGCCTTTAGTCAGTCTTTAAGTCTCTTCATTTTGGTGACTCTGAGCATCGTGCGTCTCTCATTAATACTCTGTTATCTTTAGCTGCTAGCTATGATTGGGGAGCAATTCGAACATGGAGATGAGATTTGTGGGGCTGTCGTCAATGTGAGGGCTAGGCAGGAGAAGATTTCTCTTTGGACCAAGAATGCTTCAAATGAAGCCGCTCAGGTATGCAGCATTGGATACATATATGCACTTGATGACTTCTTTACTTATTAGTGCATGATCAATGAAAATGTCGCCTGTAGCTGAGCATCGGGAGACAATGGAAGGAATTTCTTGATTCCAATGATAGTATGGGGTTCATATTCCATGTAAGTGTGGTGTTTACTAATGATGTCTCTTCCTTTTCAAGATATGCAAGTAAGTTGAAGTGGTGTTTTACTTTTGTATCTTGCTGTTATTTTCAGGATGATGCAAAGAAGCTTGACAGGGGTGCCAAGAATCGCTACACTATCTGACCTGTTGAATTCGTATCTAAGAGCACCGACTTCCTGTAACCGAAGTCTGTCCTGGCTGAGGACAATCAGGGGGAGACTCTTCATATGACGGAACTTCTATCTCGTATCGTAATTTTGGCTCACTTGCGTCAAAATGTGGTAGTTAGCAGGAAGTAGGGACATATAGAGCTTAACAGAGTTTTATGCAACTATTTTTTGGCTTCGAATATAACCAGCGGTGTTGGATGTTTGTTTGAAAATTGGAATTACTCAACCGTATTTCTATCTTGGTGTTGGCCACAAAGCGGATTTAGCAGGTGGAGCACAAGCTTTGATTAATGCTTCTCACTAAATTTGTTTACTGGCCTCCGGTACAGGGCAATGCCGGTTGCCGGGAGATGTCTGTATCTACCGAACCAATCTCATGCTCTGTTTCAGAGCGTTCAATTCTTGTATCTTCAATATCCATTTTCCATATCCGAAATATAGCCGGTTAAAACCAGTGGTATATGTTGGATATTATCTTTCACATGATTAGAAATTTCGTTCCAAAAGAACTCTCGACTAGGGGCAACAAGATCCAGCATCAAACTCCAGTTAACTTAACTGGACATTATATCGAACTGAACCTATTCTTCAACCCATTCCATAACAAGTGCAACTTGTGCACGCTACAGAACCAACCTAATCTATAACCAACGACTACAAAATTATACTCATTTACAATCAATCAAAACTTCCCCTTTCCTCTCTGCAAAAGATATTTATTAACAGGAGGCAGCTCAGGAAAGAAAGAAAAAATAATATGGAACACAAGCAGTAATCATTTTGGACTGCAGGCTTTTTCAAGGCAACAGCTCGCCGTCCTCGACATCACCATCTAACCACTCATCCACATTGTCGGTCTCGTCGTCCTTGAAGAACAGACCTAATCGCTCCAGTGGGCTCAAGGGGCTTTCAAAGCCACATCCTCCTTCACTTTCTCTTCCTCTGTATGCTCTCTCACCCACTCTTGGACTGACTAACAACAGCCTGCACCCACTTAGATCCTCGAGTTCTCTCAGTACTTCTTTGTTCTCCTCAATCTCAACACTTCTCTCAACCTGAAATTATCGTATTTTTCGACCAAGGAAACCAGTTGTATTATGATGGGACGAAAAGAATTATGATTTTGAGGTGTCAAGCCATAAAGGTAGCAAAAGTCAACAACCTTCAGCACTGCAACCCGGGCGGCTTCTCTTTCCCGTTGCCTTCGCTCCTTCAATTCCATCTCATGTTGCCTCTGGGAGGCAGCTTCAGCCTCTTTGATCTGGGCTTCAATTCTTGTTTTCTCTGCAATAATTCAAAAGGGGAAAAACTTACACAAGAAATTTGAGGACAAAGAGGAAGCAAGCAACTAACAATCAAATGACACCCACTTATTCCCTCTCATCAATCATATGAAGCTTTTCATCGAGGACGGAGAATGATAATCAAAATCAAGTTAATTTTATTGCAGATTGTTAAGATTTAGAAATGGTTCGCTCCCGTCACAAAAAACCCAGCATTGGAACATTTCACCACACCTCCAAGTACAGAAAAAATGAGATGAATGTGATACAAAGAAACAACTTCAGCTAAAAACCAGTTTAGTGTGCACAATAAATATAGTAATACGGAAAGCAAGGTAATTTGATCTAATTGCTTTATTATAATATAGCAAATACCTTCATGGTGCATCCTTTCCAATCTCTCCTTTTCCCGCTTCATCTTTATTGATTCAGCCTTGTCACCCTGAATAATGGGATGTTAGGATAAACCATGAGCGAAGACTTAGATTACAGCAAACAACTGCTTGATCAGGACTTGTACACAATAAGCACATGAAAAAGAGGGAGGAGGTAGAAGAGGAGACTACGAATTACATGATCAAGAAGCGTATTATGCTTTGCCTTCAGAATTGTGTATGCAAATCGTTCCTTAATCATTGCAGCACGTAGGGCTCTTTTCGGTGACATTTGATGTGCTTCAGCAACATGAGATCTCCAATCTAAACACAAGTCCGAAACACTAATGAAATCAGAGAAAGAAACAAATCAAATGAAATAATTGATGATTGAGACCAGAAGTGAAGCAAACCTTCTCCAGAAGTTGCATCCGTAATAGGCATTACAAGCTCCGAACTAGGACATAAATTGTCTTCATCTAAAGCACTCACGGCACCTTTTCCAAGTTCCATCACACAATCAGTCACCGAAAGTGGTGAGGTGCATGATTTCTGAGTAGAAAAGGGATAAAGACCTCACCATCAGAATCTGGATCTGACCTGCTCATCTGGGAAATCGAGATAACCTCTGGCTGATAGTCCTATTCAAATTACACATTAAGATGTCATGCATTGCCACTGTATGGCCACTAAGAAGACAAAAAAAGATGCAATAGCATAAACTTCTGTCATACCACTGTTCTGGCATCAGTGCTTTGGGAAAGATCCCTGCTAAATGCTCCAGCAATGGATGCATCTGAAGCAAGACATACACAAAGATAATAATCAATCATCAGTCACATAATACACCTAAGAGAAAGAGGGGAAAAGAAAGGGGGAGAGGAGAATCAACTACCTGACAATGCATTAACTGAATTCATCTGAAGGCTACATCCACAGGGGCCCTTGCCACAAGTACCACATTTGCGAACCACTATCCTCATTGGTGGTTTGCAATTGACAAGACCATGCACATGTCCAGGACCTTTTCAATTGACCATAAGAATTCTACTGATTAGCTCCTGTAAAGAGCCATAAACCAGAAACCACAGTCGGTGCCACTTCATACCTTTCACGGACTTCGGTACACAGTTATCAGCAGCTTTGGCATTCTTAACCTAGCAAACAAAACAGACCGAATATTTTACACCACCACTTAATCGAAGGATATGGAAAAGAAAGCAGCCATCGTGAGTTGTGACTGAAACCAGTCGCCCAGCTAATAACACTGGCTGATTTAGCTCAAGTTGAAAAAGATAAACTGAATACTTACCTCAACAGCCTGGGCATGTAGAGAGCCCCTTTCCGTCGTCTCTTTTATGGCTTCCTAGATAGAGTAGCATTGCAAGGAGGTGGCGTTCTGGGGCAGTTCTGTTTCATACAGTCGTTTCCCTTAACATGCGCACCACGTAATTTCGCCTTTCCATATTTTGACATTTCATAACTCCATTTATCCTCTAATAAATTCCATCTGGTGTCAAAAATTTTATGAAGCTCCATGGCCTGCTGATGCACAGGGTTACTCGGTGGGTTATACAGCATAGCATTATCAAACGTCAATTTAACATCAGCTGCAAATTCTTCAGCCCCCGCATATGCATTCTTAGACAGCTTGGACTTTATGGTCCCCAGATCCATAGGATGGGATATGATAGTGAAATAATCTGGAATCGCAAGTTTGACAGGATCCACTGGCTCAGAGAAAACCCAACCGTCTGGATGTCCAACAAGAACTTTCAGAAGAGCCAAGCACTGCTGTGTTACTGTACGATCCATTTTCCATCTCTTACATGGATGACCATCTATATCCATTGACGGGCCACGCTTTTTAGAGCACGAAATGGCAAATTTAGCATTTTGTGATGTACCCATCCGAGTTTGAGAAGTAAGATCAGCACACAGCTTCTGCTTCAATCCACATGAACTTGCCCCAGGATCAACTTCAACCTTCTGGGTGGAAAATTTTATCTTCAAAATCTTCTTAGTCACAACAGTTTCGGCAGCTCCCATGATGATCAATTGGAGGAACACAGGTGCAGAAAGCAAAGGTTCACCAATCATATGCACCTTATGAAGCCATCTCCAAAAGTGCCGTGGCACTAGAAAGTGAAACTGAAAACATCACGTACGTACGGGAGAGCTGCTGGGCAGAAGAAGGCCGCATCAGAAGGTTTGAACCGCAATAATTCGTATAGAGCAAGGGGAAGACCAAGTAAAGCACCACAAAAGTAATTGCATTTCGACCCCATAACTCCTCTTGGCTACGGAAAGCACAAACCCTCCCCAGAAACATAAACCCAATTCACCCACAAAGAGCAAGACGAACACAGAAACTATGCTTCCCGTCCCCGAATGACAAATCAAACTGCGGAAGGGACCGGAAAAATACTAGTAATTCAAATCCTCAACCGGAAAAGAAAGATGAAAACCCCAGCCAAACATGGGTACCGTACAGCATCGGAATCGGATAAAAAACGGAACAGAAAAGAAGCCCTGATTTGAAAAAGGACTGCAAGCAACAGACCAAAGCTAAATCCGAGGAATCCCCAATCGAGAAGATCCACCGGATTCGCAATTCAAATCATACGAATCAAGCGAGAAAACCAAAGGAAGGAATTTGAAAACGAAAGCAGCGCGATTCGGGATCTGGAAGGGGACTTACCGCGGTTTTCCACCAAATCACCAAGCCCTTGAACAGGGATCGAACGAAATGAATGCACCTCGAAGACAGACTCGCAGTCGAAGCGCGAACCGAGCAAGCCAGCTCTAGCGACGGCCTGCCTCCGACGACCAACGACGAGAGGAAGTAGAGGGGGGCAGAACGGAGAAGGGTTTTAGAGGCGCGAAGTTAGTGGAGAAGCAGATACTACTGGGTTCTTTTAAGTGGGAAAAGAAAATATCTCTTTGCTGGGGCCTTCTCCTTTTCCTTGTTTTCTAGGGTTTATGATATTTTACGTTTGGGGCAATTGAAAAGAAAAGTCTTCCATTTCTCTGTCTCTTTCCGCTTCTCTGTCTGTAGCAAATTACCGACCGACAACGACCCTTCTCATTAGAGCGTCAGTCGTCATTTTCTTTTTCCTCTAGGCAAATGACTAATTGGCCCCTGGCTGACGGTGACGTACGGAGGTTGCGTTAACCCCTGCCGTCCGTTTCTCTTATTTTATAAATCCTTCCACCAGTTTCGCTAACGATACTGTTGTGAAGATCCTTGAGAGTTGAGAACTGAGAAGCAATTTATTTTTGTAAAAAGGAATTATTTGTGTTTTTTTAAAAGGAATTCTATGCTCTCACTATAAAGAAGAAGAAAAAGAAGGGATTATTATGTTGAGACAATGGAGTGTCAAAGAGTCAAAGGGCTACCAGTTTGATCATTGATGAAGTGTTGTAATTTTTTGTGGAAGCTATCCTTCGAATTCGATTGGAGAAAGAAGGATCAGATGATTTTTACGCTGGAGTCTCACCAAAGATGGTGGGTTCTCGAAAATTGCCTATCATGCTTTTCATAAAGCAAACACAAACTTTCAACCGACAGGGAATGAAGAAAATTGGAAATTGATCTGGGGCTGAACCTCCCACCAAAACTCAAATTATTCATATGGAGTTTCTCCAAAATGGGTTGGCAGCTAAAGAGAGGCTCTTTCATCGAAAATGTGCCCCGAACCAGATTTGTCAAGTTTGTCAAAACCCGTACAAATCCCTTATCCATGTTATGTGTATATCTCCGGTGAGAACATTCACATAATTTGCGTCGTCGATGTTGAAAGATATTCGTAAGAAAAAGAGTTAGAACGAAAAGAATATCCAAAGGAATGAAAATAACTACAACTACTAATGAATTCTAATATTCAACATACATTAAACGAAAGACAGTACATATTTTTAGGCTAGGAAAATCCAAAATCACAATCCTTCCCCTAATAGGCCAGCGACCTCCTTCTCATTTTTCCTACCTAAAACATGAAACTCAACCTACAAGGAAATAATAATAAACTCCTAAATAATAAACCAAATCCTACTTGAACAATGAAAGCAATAATAAAGACAATGTTGAAGGAAGCTCGCTTATGCCTCTGCTCAAGCAACTCAACGGGCCAAAGAATGGATTTGGAAAGCTTGCCAGTGCCTCTGGACAAGTTATTCGAAGGGATTTGAAAAGAAATCAAATTAGCACAACTTACCTTTTCTGTTCACAAGGCAGAAATGGAAAACCCATCAAGGAGACGTTGGGAAGCTAGAGTATAAGAAGATACAAAGGCTGGAGTCAAGAATCACCTTTTTCAAGCAAAACAAGAAAGAAAGAGCAGAGAGTTTGCTAGTAATCTTGTTAAGAAAAAGAGAGCTGATCCGAGTAATTGCTTGGCTAACTAGGTGTATTGAGTCTCGAGTTCTGAGTGAGGATACAGTCTGGTTAGGGTGATTTACCAGCTTAGGCTGAGAGTTCTTTGTTGTAGGTGCAGTTGTAACCAAGAACTTGGAAGAACCAAGTCAGTAGTGAAACGTTGAAGGTCTCAAGAAGAGATCCTTCAACCGTGGATTAGTCGGTGCAGGGATACTTATTCTCCCTGTCCCGGATACCACGTAAAAAATTGCCTGTGTGTTCATCGCTTTCAGTTTCCCAATTGCTTAATAATCTTGTTGTTTGCTGAAGTGTGATTGACACAGGGAAGACGAACAGAAGCAGAGTCAAGAAGGAAGAGGCACCCTCTGCTTCGTGGTTGTGTTGAGTTCAGAAACCAAAGAACTGGGCTCACTGAATAATTAGTCTGGGCCGAAAACTTAAATTATAACAAACAGGCCCATTGTCTGGTTTCGGTTTATTTTCGATTTACAACATCGATTTCTTGTGTAGTGTTTACATCCTTCTCATTTGACTCGAGGATTTTTCTAGGGTTTGACTCACTCCTACTGTCATTCTAGAAAATGGCCAAGTGTAACCACTTCCTACAGCGTAGTATAGCGGGTTTGGGTTTTAATGTCAACCCGGGTCCTAGATATGATGACTACTCAGTGAATTCGTATTATCTAGCAATGAAACTTTAGTGAAGGTCTAAACTAACAAGCAAGCAAAGCAACTGAACGGTTGTTTTCAGGTTAAGAGAGGTCACCCGGATATGGTTCCCCCTAGACTGCAGTTAAGCCGGATTGCAATTACCAAGTTCAATTTCTATGATAGTTATACTGCGGAAGGTTCTCAAACAATCTGAAGTCTCGACTAAAGGTCTCCAGACCCTCTCAATCTGAGTCTCTAGCGGGCGACTAACCTCCACCGGAGTAAACAGATTGAGGCCCTAACGAACCAAACCTCCACTACCGAATTGAATTCGGTACAGAATAGCAAATTGGCTCCTCGACTAAAGTCACCAATTCACTACCTTCAATTAAGGGTTCTCTATCAACCTAGGCAGATATTCTCATTCTAGGTTAAAGCAGAAACAACAGGAATTTGATCAGGATTCATGCCATTCAATCATTCAAACCTCAATCGAATATAATCAAATCATAGAAACAGTACTTGGATTCATACAATCAACCCTAACATACAGATCTAGGGTTCCCACACCCAGATGAATGGGAGAACTACTCCATGGAGAAAGAAACAAAAGCAGATTCAGAAGCGGAAATCATACTGTGAAGGATGGATTTCTGCTCCTGGACGTTGATCGACACTCCTCCAAGCTCAAGCCAAGCTCCAATGGTGATGAAGATCAAGCTAGGGCACTTGGAGACTCTTGTTCGTCGCTTTCTCTCTCTAGGAATCGCTCTGTCTCTCTAAAACTCGAATCCCCTCTCTTTTGGCTGAAAATCTGCCTAAAAGGGCATCACTGGCCAGAACACGGTCGAGGACACGGCCGTGTTCTGATCCAGCCTGCCCGTGCCCTCTGCCACGTGGTAAATACACGGGCACGGTCTGGGGAAAACACGGGCGTGTTTTGATGCGGACACGACCGTGTTTTGAAATGGTCTCGCCCGTGTTTTAATGCTTGTGCAAGGCATTGCAGGGAAGCCTCGGCAGTAAAAACACGGGTCAGGAACACGACCGTGTTTTGAAAGCCTCCTGCCCGTGTTTTGGTCATAGCTAGACCAAACGACTTCCAAATGCTCCGAAACTCGCGCTTGGCCTTCCCTTCGATGCCTGGGACCTGAAATAGGACAAAGTAGCACAACCCGGCGTAAAATAGGCCAAAACACATAACTATGCTCCGCCAATGGATAAGAAATAGGGGTATAAAATCATGCAATTACATCGTTATCAGAGTTCTTCTTTGCAGAATCAAAGAACGCGATTTTCTTCTTAGGTCTCGCGCTCGACCTCCATTCACATGTGGTATCAGAGCCCGGCTCCGAAATCAAGGCTTCAAATCCTTCGGAGAAGATGAGTTCGAGCTCTGCGACTGGTATGGGGATCTACATGGCCAATGGTTTCTCACAAACACGACCGCCTCGATTTGAAGGAGTACACTAACGGGTACTGGAGAAATATAATGGAGTTATTTATCTGCTCCACTGATCTAGACCTCTGGGATATCATAATGGACGGGCCTTTAGAAGTGAAGGATGCTCGAGGGAAGTGGACTGAAGACGACAAGAAAAATTTCCAGTTGAACTCGAAGGCAACCAACCTAATGTACTGTGCATTAGGACCCGAAGAATATCATAGGGTCACGGGATGCAAGACAGCCAAGGAGATTTGGGATAAGCTGCAGATCGCTCATGAAGGTACATCTCATGTCAAGATTTCCAGAATCAACAGTCTTAAACAGGATTTTGAATCCTTCGTCATGAAGCCTGAGGAATCGATCAAGGAGATGAATGATCAATTCACTACAATCGTCAACAGTCTGAGAAACTTGGAAGTTGAATATCCAAGTGCTGATCTCGTGCGAAAAGTACTCTGGGCATTGCCAAAACGATGGACTCCAAAAGTCACGGCTATTGAGGAGTCAAAAGATCTTACCAGACTCAGTTTGGATGAGCTGATAGGTTCGTTGATAACTCATGAAGAGAAGCTAAGGAGAGAAGAGATAGATGAGCCAAAGAAAGAAAAGCGAAACATAGCACTTAAGGTCTCATCATTTGAAGAAGACTTGGATGGCTTAGAAGACATGGAAGATGACGAGTTGGCATTGCTGAGCAAGCAAGTAGCCCAATTGCTAAAGATGCGCAGAGACAAAAGGAAAGGAAGTTCACCCAGCAAGATAGAGGACAGTA